CAACCCGACATACGCTGCGGTCGCCAATGCCGAACCCACCGAACGAAACACCTGGTTCTTGGACAGCTGCTGCGGTCAACACATGTGTTCTTCCGGACGCTCCGTGCAACAAGAGCGACGCCTCAACCGCGATGTCATCATCACCGTCGCCAACAACGAGAACCTGAAAACAAACCGATAAGGCGTGGTTCAGTTACAATCCATGGAGACAAATGTTATACTTCAACTCAACAAGGTCCTCATCGTCGACAACTTGGGATACAACTTACTAAGCGTAAGCCAGCTAATGGCAAAAGGGATTCACCTGGAGTGCGACTCCTACTCCAACGAGTTTCGCCTTTACCACGGGAAGGGCGGTCTCTTCATCGGTCGTGCTCTCCTGAAGTCCGGCGTCTTCGTGTTGGACTTCGTCCCCGACCGCGGTACTACCGACAGCGACGGAATCATGTCGTTCGCCGCCTGGACACACCCGCCGGATCTCGACCCCGACTTCGACCCTGATGGATTCTGGCACTCCAACACCATACCTGCAGCAGAGAGAACACGAGCATTAGCAGTCATCAGACAAGAAAGACAAGTACCAGCAAGTGCCCCTTCCCAACCATCACCTGCAGTAGCAGCAGCAGGTCCCAGCCGAGTACCGCCACCAGCGATCCGAGGACCACCAACCGAAGCAGATCAACTTATGCCCATCACGCGAGAAGTCTGTCGAAGTCCCGCCACAGTCGTCGCGTTCTTCTCCAACACCGACATATACCACCGATCACCCGGTCATCGCGCTTCCGACGACATCTGGCACCAACGACTCGGACACCCTGCAAACAGTACAATACTGCAAACCATCCAAGCCGAAGTGTTAGAACGCAACGCTCCCTAACAACGAGCGGCCAAGAACTTCGACGACCACGCGCACGGTGCTTTACGTGTCCCGAAGCCGATCTTCCCCACCAGTCTTTTCCATCTCATCACAACCCAAGCGCACCTGCATACGCACCGATGGAAAAAGTCTACAGCGACATTTTAAACATGCCTCGAGAAGACACTGAAGCCGACTTCAACTATGTCATCACGTTTATCGACGCAGCAACAAGATGCGTCTGGCACTACAACCTTAAGATGCGTGATCAAGCCTTCGACGCCTTCACGACATGGCTACCCATCGCCGAACGGGAATCAAGAACCAAGCTCAAGAGCTTCCAGTCAGACGGTGCACTAGAATACCAGTCACAACGCTTCAGGACCTATCTGGCGGGAAGAGGAATCAGACGCCTGGTGTCCCTGCCATACGCTCACCAGCAGCAGGGGGTCGCAGAACGCATGAACCGGACCTTGCAGACGACGATGCGGAAGCTGCTCCTGGGGATGAGACTGCCCACCACACTGTGGCCAGACGCGATGACACATGCAGTCCACCTGCACAACCTGTTGTCCTCGTCATCGCTCCCCAACAACGCATCACCGCACCTGCTGTGGACACAAAAAAGGGGCAGCACAAAATTACTTCGAGTTTTCGGCTGCATGGTACAGTACAGACCCCACACAGCCCGTGCAGGACGGTTCACTCAACGAGCTCGATGGGGACTACACCTCGGCATCGCAAAACATTTTCATGCATGGAAAATCCTCGACATCCAAGACAAAAATACAGTGGCATCACGTGATGTTATCTTCTACGAGCGACTGACGCTGCAGCATTACCTGGACAACATTGCCAACACACACGACCCCACCGACGACTTCGCGGGCCTTCGTTCCTTTGCCGACCGTGCTGCCAAGGCTGACGCAGCAGAAGAAGACGTACCTGGAGCCTCGGAAGCTGCCGGACCACTCCCTTTCTGTTCCATACCTGTTCCACTCGACGAAGACAATCCTCTCGATAGTAACAACCTCGACACCTTTTATCACTTCGCTGACCAAGGTTACATTACACCACACCCGGTCGACACAAACGTTTCAGAACGCATCGGCCCCAACTTCTTACCTGATCCAGAAGACGGTGACGAAGCAGCCTATTCCGGGAATGAAAATTCCCCTCGACACACACCCACGGGACTGCAGATCCTCGGCCTCTGGGTCTCCGTCCAGCATCCGCCGCCGCCATCTCCGCGCGAGCCCTCGACTTTGTCGCAGGCTCTGGGGGGGGAACATAAGGCGAAATGGAAGGAGGCGATGGAAAAGGAGCTAAAGGCTCTGCAAGACCGAAATACATGGAAGCTGGTACCTACAACAAGCATCAACGGGAAGAACGTCCTCTCGGGAAAATGGGTGTATCGCATCAAGACCAACGCGGACGGCTCCATCGAACGATTCAAAGCTCAATGGGTCGTACGAGGTTTTGATCAACGATACGGAACCGACTACACAGAAACTTTTGCCCCAGTCTCCCGTCACACCTCCCTGCGCATCCTACTCGCCGTCGCGGCCACGAAGAAACTACCACTGCGCCAAATTGACGTCGCAAATGCCTTCCTGTACGCACCTGTGGACGCCGAGATCTTCGTCGAGCAGCCCCACGGATTCATCGACGACCCTACAAAAGTATGCCAACTGATAAAATCCCTCTACGGGATCAAACAGGCTCCGCGGCTGTGGCAACAGCACCTTCACGGCCGCCTCGTCAGAATCGGCTTCCTACAACTGCCGTACGACCAAGGCATGTATCGACTACAGAAGGAAGAAGCCTTCATCCTTCTCATCGTCTACGTCGACGACCTACTCTACATCGGCTCCACTACCGACATCGCCACCTGGTTCGAAGGGGAGCTGAAAGAAGACTTGACACTCACGGTGTCCGACGCAGTGACCCAGTACCTAGGACTGAATGTCGTCGAAGACAACTCGGCATTCTACCTACACGCTGGAAAGTACGCAGGCACTGTCGCGAAGAAATTCGGTCTAACGCCGACTACGGTCCCAACTCCCTACCGCTACGGGAACAACAACAGCACCTCCGCAAAGCTCCCCGCGAAGCAAATCCAGGAGTATCAACAGAAGCTCGGCTGCCTACTATTCGCAGCAGTAACCTGCCGACCCGATCTCTCTTATAGCGCGAGCCAACTGGCGACGCATCTGAAGCAGCCGGAACAAGAAAATCTCGAGGAACTCAATCGGGCACTACTCTACTTCGTCTCCACGCCGACGACCGGACTTACCTACAGCAAAGCAACAACACCGTCCGTACGACTACTCGGATACGTCGACGCCGACTACGCGGGAGACATGGAAAATCGACGATCGAGAACGGGCTACATCTACCGACTAGAACCTATCGGGACTATCTCATGGCAGTCGAGCAAGCAGGAACTAATCGCACTATCTTCGGCTGAAGCAGAATATATCGCCCTCTGCACTGCGACCAAGGAAGGACTCTACCTACGAGAGTTGCTCGAGGAAGCGAAGATCGCGACCCTGCCCGTCTTCTCACTCCTCTGCGACAACCAATCTGCGATCAAAATCGCGAACAAAGACGGCTTCGCCAACCGAACCAAACACAATTGCCCTGCGGTACTTTTTCGTCAAAGATGAAATCGCGAAGGGGAGACTTCAACTCAGTTACTGCCCTACAACAGAAATGGCCGCAGACTACCTGACGAAGAAACTAGCGAAGCCGAAGTTCGATTACTGTATGCTGCTGACCGGGCAGACAAACGTCACCGGATCTGAACACGTCAGCACTCCAGAAACGAAGGGGAGTGTTGGAAATATCTCAAAGGACTTAAGCGTTTCTGAAGTGTAACACTACACTCGAGGAAGATCGCAACGGGTACGCGAGTCAACGGAGGTTACACGAGGGGGCGGACAAAGAACGCGAAGGGACTCGAAGGGTTGCAACTGGAGGTCGCGACTGACCGTTACAACAGCGGGGATGGTAACCGAAGCGACAATCGAGTCGCTGTGCGACTCGATAAACCGCTCCTGCAACTGTATTCTACAACTGCTTTACTTTCCTACTTTCTATATATTTCTGTATGCTTGTTTCTTTAATCAATCACTTGTTCTCATATACTAGCACAAGGGTTCAACTGCCTCAAACTTCCGCTGCACTACTCAAGTCTTTACAACTGGGACTTAGTCTCTGGAAAGATCCTAAGGGCTTTTTCTCAGCCCAACACAGACGAAATTTAAATATGCGTCTTAACGTTCAGATGAAATAAAATGGGTAGTCTAACAAATCAGATGAAACTAAAAAATCGAGTCTGATTTTCAGACCATCAGACCGATTTCGTCTGATATCTGGGGCCCTGGTTATATTCCCTTGTATCCCACCTTCCTAGTCATTCGTTAACTTTGATACATGCCCCTACGTACGTTTCCGGCCAATGCCCTACCAAGCGACTTACATTTAATATCCGATCCTTCCGAAAAGGAATACCTCACTCAAACTGCAATCGGGCGCACGCACACGCCCCCTGAACTACCGTAATCCCCCGTATAAAGCACCCTATGGTGTTAATAAAAATGCAGCAAAATTTTGGGCTGGGTGTAATTAAAGGCCAAAAAAATAAAACACCCAGGAGTTATGGAATGTGCATATGGTTTTTATAATTGGAATTCAAGTGTGCCTGTTTCACCACATTCATTTGAGTCAGATACCCACTTTTGGTCACCTCATTGCATACTGGACGATATTCCCGATCTGCATGCCACATTGGCAGTGAGCATGCAGTGTCAGGGAGGATGCTGTCAGAACAACCAATGAGCACACGTTTAATTTGGCGGGACGCGCGAAAGTCGAGTACAGTCTCAAACTTTCGGATTTGTTTTCGTCGATTTTTTTTTTCTTTCGGGCAGATTCGTCTCCTACCTAAGAGCGTAGCCTCTTCCCAGGGAACCTTCCCAGGCTCGCGAGCTACAGTGTCGCGAATTCTGACGCGAAATATTTTAGTGCTGTTCCATAAGGTGCAACGTCAGGTTCAGCCTGCCGAGATTCATGGGCATGTTTCAAAACCTTTGTTAGGGCGACATTGTTTCCGACACGCGGGAATCTGTACAGTAAATTTTCGGCGCGAGCAGTTTTTTTCTGCGATTGAGCCGCGGAACGACGCAACACGAAATTCTGGCATTTCCTGCTAGAAATGGAGATTCTAGTGGCAGGGGGGTGTTCAAATGTTTTCACGTCCGAGAGTAGGGTGTTGTGTATATCCAGAAAAATTAAACACCCATACCCGCTCAAGCTACCCGGGGGAGCTTAATTCCGGCGGGTGTTTTATACGGGGGATTACGGTATATTTCACCCCAAGGTCCATACTTTCATGGGCCGATGGGCGAAGGGCACCACGCACACCCTGAAGTCCCTGATGGAAGGCACTCTCTCTTGCAGAGTTCCCGGTCACTGCCTCTGGACCCACGTGTGCAACATTTGCTCCTTCACCAGGTCGCTGAAAAAAGCAGCACCAGAAGGTCCAGTTGCTGCACAGGGGGTTGGATCCGCGGAGGACAAATTAACACCACCACCGCGGCTCGCCATCACTGTGGTAGCTGTATGCCCAGTAGCAGATGCAGCATGGCCTGAGGCGACAGCATCATCAAACTCCACACCTGTCATGACCCTCGCTGTGGAGTCACCGCTGCTACAAGTTGGAACAGGGACACTACCGGCAGTGGCAGCAATTGTGACAGGTATTTCTGTGCTGCTCTGAGCCTGCAAGGTTTCAACTGGGGCAGGTGCACCGGGGGGTACAGAACAGGAGGCATCATGTCGTGGATGACTACCAACTGCCTTGCCATCCCCCATCTCCTCCTCCTCATCTGAAAAGCTAATCAGCAGACCACTCTCCTCACTTCCCTGTGGCGTGGTTGGGGCGTCAGAGGCTGCAGCAGGCGATCGGAAGGGCCACACCAGCGATAGCAGTGTCGCCTTGGCTGGCTCACCCCGTTGCTGCTCCTGCTGCTGCCCCCCTCCACCCTGCTGCTCGGTGGACGGATGCACGACAAGGGGCCCGTGATCGCTGCTGATTGTGGTAGTGGTGGTGGTGTGGTCAGAGGATGGGCGCATGAAGCGATGGGGGAGGGAGAAGAGCAGCAGCAGCACTGCAAGGCCTGTGGATGCAACGCGCTGGATGATGACCCACATGGTGGAGCCCACCTGCCAGAGAAAGGCGGGTCAAGGAGGGGCAAGAAGAGGACCAAGGGCGGCGAAAAGGTAGTTTAGCAGGAAGGAGAAAGAGGAACTGGCAGCAAGTTCGTGGATATGAAGGGAACACAATGGGAGGAACGGAGATGGCTATTTCATCGTGGGTATATGGAGGCAATACCCAGCTTTTGATGTGTGCATGCCAGCTGGGAGCAGCATGAGCACAGCAGAGCCCGCCAAAGGAAAGGAGGGGTGAGGGGACAGAGGGTGGGGGCGGTGTCATGAAGATGCCGGGTGAGGTCCCTTGCGAGGCACTGCGTGGGCTCACATGCGAGGTGCCGGCAGCTGCTGCTGTGAGGAGCGGCTTGCCATGAGCGCACAGCACGCCAGCAGCGAAGCCCCCCCCTGCCACCCCCGTGTTGCGCCATGTTGCAAGCCATGGGGAGGAAGGCGGATCTGACTCGGGGGGGAATGCAGCGGGCAAGGAGAGGCAACGGCAGGTAGGGGTGATGGCAAGGGCGGCGCAGTGAATGCAGGCAGCTATGACGTGTTGCACAGAGCTAGCAGAAAGAGGCTAGGAGGTTGGAGGGCTGTAGAATGGGAAACGTGTAAGGAAGCAAGAGTGGAGGCAGGGAGATGCCGGTACGAACAAAAAGAGCGACAACAGAACCTGGGACTCGCCCTGCATCATGTCCGCTGCACACTACAGCCAAGACCATGGCACAAGCCAGGACCCGCGCCATGGTGGCAGGGACACATCCAGGAGCTATGAACACATGGATCCTTACCATCATGCCCTCCTCCAGAGCTATTCCTGGAGTTGCATAAGCACCCAGGGATATTAGCAGAGTCTTCGAACGAGACTCCACTGGCCGCAGCAGCACCAGCAGCAGCAGCACTGCTCAAAGCAACGTAACCAGCAGCATTACCAGCAGCAGCAGCAGGCGCAAAAGCAGCAATCCTCTGCCTGCCTGAGTCCACAACATAAAGCACCCCGCTACTAGCGTTGTACCACATGCCAGACACAGCCGACCCCAGCTTCGCCTCATCCCCATGGTGAGGTTTGGAGCGGGAGTTAGGGTGCTGGGCCGCATGCACAGATGCTTCCCCGTTGCTGCCCGTGCGCCCAAGGAGTGCTCGGCCAGGTGACTCCGGTGGAACGGTGGTAGGCGGTGCCTGGGTGCTGTGGCTAGACGGTTGCTGAAGAATGGGGCGACAAAGAGTGTCGCTGCTTTGACGAACGGTGGTGACATCGCCTGGTAAATCGAGCAGGGACAAGAGCAGGAAGAGAGGAAGGCGGCAACGGGATGGGAAGGACTCATGGGAGAAAGGTGAGAACGGAAAAGGATATGAGCACAAGATGGAGGCAGACGGCAAGAACCATGACTGGAAAAAATGAGGCGAAACATGGAATGGGAGGGGGAATAGGAAACGGTGAATGGAGGAACATCGTGACGAGTGACAGCGTGTTTCATGATGCGTTGCATCCTGGATACGCCCCATCGACTCCATGAGGAGTCTCAAACCAACAGGAATTAGGCTGGTCGAGTGCAGCCGCATGTGGAATTGAGTGCCCCTGAAGGCGACCGATGCAAAGGAGTAAACATGGAGTACGCGGAGGTGAAGGGCGTGCATGCCGTGTACCATGTGGCGAAATTACGCGCAGGTAGAAATTGCCCTGGTCCACGACGAAGAGGTTGCCGTGGCAGTCAGCCGCCAGGTGCGTGGGATTGTTGAACCGTGCCGCCTCCCCCCGATCGTCCACCAGGCCATAGCTGCCGTTGCGCCCCGCCAGCACCGACACCGCAGACGCTGGGGGGGAGAGGGGAGGCGGAAGATGTTGCGAGACAGAGGGAGGGTGAGCGAAGGTGCCAGAGACGAAAACGTGGGAGAGCGAGGCTGGAGAGGGAGAGGGGATGGATGGAAAGAGTGGTGATGGGGATGTGACGGCACGCCGCGGTGCCCATGTCATGTGAAGAGGGAGGAAGGAGGGCAGGGGGAAATGGGGGAGCGCGGGTGTTGAGGGGTGCGGGTGTGGGGTGGGGTGGGGGAGAGAATGGAGAGCGATACTTTAAAAGGAGAGGGGAATACTCTTGGATAGTGGCAGCTCGATCTTGAGAATTATGTGCTTCTTCCTGTCCGCGACTGCCACGTGGCGGCCATCTGGCAGCGGAGCCATGGAGGTGAGCACGTAGTCTTCCGAGGACCATGCTGTATGGACTGCAGGGCGACGGGGGAAGGCAAGCGAGGACGACGCACAGCGACAAGGAATGGAGTGACGAGACGAGCGGGTGGCGCGCTTGGATTGGGCTGCTGCGCTCTGATTGCGCGAGCCAGCTACCCACGCAAATCAGTCACGCCTCGCTCAAGCCGACCAACGGCAGTCACGTGCCTCCCCTGAGAGCGACGCACAGCCACGCGGGCAGGCGGGCAGGCACCGCGCGCGCACCTCCACAGCCTACGCACTCGGGTCGTATCAACGAGCGCAAACCACCACTGAAGTGTCGCAGATAATTTTGCCAAGCGCCTACTATCTCGCTACAAGCTATGGCTACAAGGAAACGACCGCGCGTGGATACTAACCAGTGAAGGCGCCACTCTCTTGCCAGCCGTTGGCCCTGCTGGGCTCGACGAATGGAGTCGGCGCTGCCGCTGCTGAGACGCTAGCGGCGATGCTGGAGTGCGCACTCGCAGCTACGGAGAGCGTGATCGCGAGTAGTAGAAACACCGCCATACTCGAAAGTGCTCGCGGGAGCAAGAGCAAGAGATGCAAGAGATTCACAGGCCGGAGATAGATTGAGGTTTGCTAGAGAGAGATGTCTTGTGCTAACGACCAGATGTGGGCTGCTGCTTGCGCCTGCGCTGCGACTCTCTGACGTTTGGGGTCACGAATAACACGTAGGTTGCTCTGCAACCCCAAAATTGTCGGGGTTGTCGCCCTGTGCCTATGCTGATGTTCGCGCACAAGGCCATGAGTCATTGGGCTAGTCGCTGTTAGCCTGCATGGAAGGAGGCGGCATTGCGAGCGACTGGAGGAGAGTGATGGAAGCTTGTGAACGGAACGCAAAATGCGGAATTGCGTCTGTGTTACGAATGAACAAGCAGAGTAGCGCGGAAATGAATAACGAGATGTTCACTCACTGAATGACGATACAAGGAATGGCAAGCCACCTGCTCGGTAAGGAATGGAAAATTCCTTACACCACCCCCCCCCCCCCCCCTTAGCGAAGGTGATCTATATCAGCCACGTGCTTGCGGTCCAAATAATTCGCAAGTATCGAAGGTGACTGTATCTGGTCCGAAGGCACCCACGTGTCGTCCTCACTGGTACGATTGGTCCACCGTATCAGGAAGTCAACGTGTCGTCCTTGACCGTCGATACGAATCCGATGGCTCAAGATTTTCGAAGGCTCGATGGTTGTCTCAGCTGGTGGCCGTACATCTGGAACCAATCGCTGTCGGGCGATGGCCGACGTGTCAGGAACGAAGGGTCGCAACAGGCTCATGTGAAACTTGTTGTGAATACGCCAGTCATCAGGTAGGCGTAACTGGGCGGTCACCGGCGTCACCATCTTCACGATTTTGAATGGGCCATAGAAACGTGGTCGTAATTTCGTCGGTAGTGGCAGTCGTAAATTCTTGGTATCCAAAGGGACTAGTTGCCCTGCTGCCATTGTAATATCCCGTCGATGTAAATCCGCATACCGTCGGGCAGTTGCGTTCGCTTTGCGAATAAGTTCGACAGCTTTGTCTCGGGCAGTCTGTAACTCTTCGACGAACTGTTGCGATCGTGGTACTTGACTCTCAACGTTGGTGGAGACTGGTACTGTAGGGTCCATCCCGTAATTGAGATAAAACGGGGAGTGATTAGTCGTAGCCGAGGGCGTGTTGTTGTAGGAAAATTCCAGCATAGGCAGCACGTCCTCCCATTTTTTTCCGGTCGGGGCAGTTTGTCCGAATCAACTGCTCCATCGTTTGATTTGTCCTTTCAGTCTGGCCGTCCGTTTGGGGATGATATGCGGATGAAAACTGCAGGCGCGTGCCGTACCGAGCCCACGTGTCCTGCTAGAATTTCGACGTGAACTTCGGGTCTCGATCGCTAATGATTGCTGCTGGTATCCCGTGTAGACGAACAACGGTCGAGATGAAGAGGCGCGCGGTTTCTTCGGCATGGTGCGAAATGCGCCATTTTCGTCAGTCGGTCGATGACAACCAAAACTGCGTCGTTTCCGCTAGGTCCGGCCGGTAGTCCCATAACGAAATCCATCGTTACGTGTTGCCATGGGCGTTGAGGTGGCTCGAGGGGCTGCAACAGTCCTATAGGTCGCTGGTGTGAGGATTTCATTCGCTGGCAGATCGGATACGCGGCCACGTAACGCTGCACGTCCGTCACCATATCTAGCCAGTAATAAAACCGCTACAACGCCTTCAGAGTTTTATCAACCCCGAAATGTCCCAATAAATTCGAATCGTGGACTTCTTGAATTAATAATTCGCGAAGTAGACGATAACTTGGGACCCAAATTCGATCTGATCCGCTTCGTAAGTAATAGACGCCTTTCCGTGTAGTGATTGGGAGATGGCCGTTGTTTACGAAGAATGGGTCAGTCGAATACCCGTGGGTAAATAGTCCACTCAGTAGCGGGTTGCTCTGGGCGACTAGTACTGCTGCGAGTTGGGCAGATGGTCTGGAGAGGGCGTCGGCAATATTGTTGGCGCCTTTTTTATACGTGATCTTGTACGTGAAGTTGGACTCCGGATAGTCCAGCCAACGTATCTGCCGCGGGTTGAGATTCGGCTGCGCTCTCAGGTAGTGTAGTGATTTGTGATCGATTCGCACTGTCACGTCTGCTCCAGTCAGGTAGCACCTCCAGATTTTGAACGCGTGGACGATCGCCAGCATCTCCTTGTCGTGTACTGGGTAGTTGTGCTCAGCAGATTGCATTTTCCGAGACTCGTACGCAATTGGTTGAAGCCCATTGCCGAAATCCTGCATGAGCACTGCTCCGATGGCGATGTCACTTGCGTCGGTGATGACTTCGAAGGGCCGTTCTGGGTCAGCGATGCAAAGGATCGGCGACATTAAAAGATTTTTTGATGCCTCGAACGCAGCTTGCTGCTCCCCCCCCCACTCGTAAAAAGTCCCCTTCTGCAGTAGGTCGGTTAGAGGTCCAGTTATCCCCGCCATGTTGGGTATAAACCGCAGCACGTGATTCACGAAACCCAAAAAGGATTGCAGCTGCTGCAGATTTGTTGGCGGTTTCCATTCCTGAATAGCCCGGAGTTTTTTCGGGTCTATCCGAATCCCCTCCGTGGAGAGCACGTGCCCCAGGAACTCCAGTTCTTGTTTTAAAAACTCGCACTTGGAGCCCTTGGTGATGAGACGATGCTGCTGCAACTGCTGAAAAACCGCGTCCAAATCTTTGAAATGTTGCTCCCGGGTCTTGCTGTAGATCAGAATGTCGTCCAGGTAAATTATCACGCATTTGTCGAGTAGATCGCGGAACACCCCGTTCATGGTGAGTTGGAACGTCGAGGGGGCGTTCGTTAATCCAAACGGCATCACCATGCATTCGTAACTCCCGTAGCGGGTACGAAACGCGGTCTTGTGGCAGTCGTCAAAGAACACCCGAATTTGATCATAACCACCACGAAGATCTATCTTCGAACAATAGCAAGCTCCGCGAAGGTTGTCGATCAGTTCGTCCGTGCGAGGGATTGGGTAGCGCGATTTTATCGTTACCCGATTAAGGGCACGATAGTCCATACACATGCGAAGTCAGCCGTCTTTTTTTGGCGTGAACAGGATCGATGCTGCGAATGGTGACGTGCTCGGCCGAATGAACCCTTTCGCCAGCAGGTAGTCCAGCTGGTTTCGTAACTCCTATAGCTCCGGCTGAGTCAGGCGCCATTGCGTGCGTACAGTAGGCTGCGCGCCGGGCTCCAGCTCGATTTTGTGGTCCTCGGGTCGTTCGGGTGGCAGGCCACTTGGCAAGTCGTCCGGAAAAATCTCAAGATTTTCCCGAATGATTTTCGCCAAGTCATCCGGGACCGAAGCGCAGAGTTTGTTGATGTCGGTCGCCTTGTTCTGCTCCATCGATTCTGTTAGATGAACGGCGTATAAATCCGCTCCATTCTTGACCGCTCGTTTGAGGCACACCACGTTGACTCGTGTCAATGTTGTCTCCGCTTCCGGCCACGTGGGTAATTTTCGCCAGCCTTTGTCGCACTTCACTGTGCACTCGCCTGTTGTCCAATCGATCTGCGGGTTGAATCGGCGCAGCCAATCGCGTCCCAATAGCACGTCGTAGCCGTCGAGCGTTGTCGTCAGCATCGGCGCGCTGAAACCAAAATCTTTGCCACACTTCATTCGGACGATAGGTACTTTGTCGCATATCGCCAGCAAGGTGTCGTCCACCAATCGTGCGTCGATTTCGGGCAGACACCTCTCCAGCAGGTGTAGTCGTCGTGCTGTCTCTCGATTTATCAGGCTGTGACTCGCACCGCCGTCGATGAATATTTTTATTTTTCTTCCGTTGAGTCGTCCCTCCGCCAGTACAGGGTGGTCCACTGGGTCATCCCCTTATTCAGCCGGGAGCGGTTGATAGCATGTATCGGAACCACTACCCGGTGGGGATGGTGTTTTTCGGGCGATGAGGCAGGGTCAGTAGGGGGCCCGACCGCTACTGACGCTTGGCGTTTCCCGACCTGCCTTCCTCGTCCTTCGGTATCTGCTTCTTTTGGGGGCAATCATGAGATTGGTGACCCGGCAGGTGGCAGTTGAAACATTGTCCCTTGCGAAAATCTTCCATGTGCTCCTTCGCCACTATGCCGTGAATCGTGGGCCGTGGATTCTGGCCACGAAAACGATTTCCCTCCCGGGAACCCGCTCTCACATACGTCCGATGTGTGTCGAAAGTATCTGCGATCCGGACTGCTTCGTGAAACGTCGCCGGAAGTCGCAGTCGGACCTCGCATTTTATGTCCTGCTTCAGACTCGAAATGAATCGAGCTTTCTTCTCGGAGTCATGCATGTCGGTGATTTGATCGCATAACGCCATGAAGACCGACGCATAATCCTGGACAGAACTCCACTGGCGCCAGTTGTCCAGCTTCGTGCGTGCGTTGTCCGAGGCGGATATTGGCTCGAACCGTTCACGCAGAGCTGTACCCCACGCCTTCCACGTGCGAATCTTGGTCGATCCAAAAATCGCGGTTGACCCTTGGGCAGCAGACCCAAAGTTTCCGAAAAACCCCTGTACGTCGCCTGCCGAAAACTCCCCCTCCTGTAGAGTATATCGCCACCAATCGAGCGTAGGTCCCCGCAGTAGTGATACAGCCAGTCGAATTTTTAAATCGTCAGCAGTGATCCCAGCGGCATTAAAATAAAGTTCCGCCGAAAATAACCAGCCCGTAACAGTGGTATTCTTATCTGTGCGGTTGAACAGGGGCGGCATTGTCGGTTTGATCATCGCTGTCGTCACGATCGGCATAAACGCCGGTGCGGCTACAGTAGCGGTTGCTTCTGACCGAGCGGCTGCTGCTGCTGTGGCTTCGGCTGCTGCTCGTGCTGCCACATCAGCTGCTGTGGCGGCTTCACTGTCCTTGCGCTCCTGTGACACCTCACGTGCGATTTCGTCCAAGACGCTTTCGACACGTCCGGTGCTGGCGACCTCTTCTTGGGCGGCAGATTTCTGACGCGAATCTTCTCGCGCCTAGCATAACTCGGCAACTTCTGCACGAAGTCGCTCGTTGTCCTCCAGCACTGTAGCCATGCATGTGTTCATGGCGTTGAACTGCTCCCGAAGCTCGTTGAACTGAGCTTGGTCCATTTGGCGAATGCTCCGCCGGGGCACGGGGAAATCCGTGATGTGCCTGTACTCAGGTAAGCGCAAACGCTATCGTAGTTGGGCGAATTCATCAGTTTAATTTGCGAGCAACCTCTTTGCAGCTTACGTGAGGGACTTACCCCCCCCCCAAAAAAAATCGACTCACGAAAAATGGGTGAGCAAGGAAAGTGGCTCTGATTACCAGGTGCTATGA